TCGCAAAAGGGGACTAGGACACTGCAACCATCATAAATAGGAGTCAATTGCCAAACAATTGCCAAATTTTGATTATGTGACCATGTGGATTGCTCCAACAGTCGTAAGTGTGAAAAATGGTCATAAGTCACTGTTTCAGGGCTGTTGGGATTTCAAATGGTCATGAAATGAACAGTTATAAGTTGAGGACTTCCTGAATTTTGGGTTAATTTCCATTTTTTTCCTTGTAAGTTGGACGTGTGGAAGAGGCAGGATTAATTAATTACGTCACGTCACTGTGAATCACAGTGTTGGAAGCAGATAGTTCAGAAGTTCAGAAGCAGAAAGCAAGTTGGCCTGAAAGAAATATATATAAGATAATTTATACACTGAGTTGTTGACAGCATGGTGTAACTTTTAGACAACATTTTGCTTTTCGTGTATCACAGTTGCTTTGAAAGTTCCTTTTCTTGTATATAGCAGTGTGGTTTTATGTGAAATAAAGAATCTCAAAAACAGATTATCGTATTTGCCTTTTTACCCCAAATCCCTTAATTTATTGATCTCCTTGATTTGGAATGGAAAATCTATTGCTTCTTTTAATTGCACACTCTGAACTTAAAAATTTGAGTGCAAGAGAAATCAAGACAGGCAGAAAATACTGCACTTGGGTTAATACTCAGTTCAAGCAGAGATATTTATTTAGTTGAAACTAAAGCCTTGGGGGTTTATGCAAACTACAGTCCATTTGTTCTGTTTGTGGCCTTCCTTTGCTTTCTGGCCAGTCATTGTTTGAGGGAACGCACGCACAAATAGGTGTGTATTGCTGAAATCAGGGGTGGTAATCAGAGTTATAAAATAGTTTTATACAGTACCCCTCTTTCTTTTCCTCTGCAAATTGCTGCTTGGCACAACCTCAACTCTTCACTGCTTACAGGGTTACACTGAAATGAAACATGCAAAACTCTGCATTGCATTTTGTCTTGGCCATCTCTCACACTAGTTTTTGCACTAAAAAGTGTTCCCCTCCTGCGGAGTAAATCTGCATAGTCTTTTCGCCCTGGTGTGAGAACATCTCCTTAATTGATTCCAGAAGACCTGTCCCCATGGACATCTGTTTCCTCATCAACTCCCCCTAGCTGAGGCAGCCAGAGATTAGTCTTTTGGTCCTTCCCACTGGCATGATTCTTATCCTCTCACCATCCCACCAGAGACTGTGGGCCAGGCAATCTAGGACATGCTCCTGTGAGGGAGGTTGGCTGACTGAAAAGACAAGTTCCATGGGACATTGAAAGTGAGTTTCTGAAGCCATTTTGTCTTGGCAGTTGGCTTTGTAAGCCAGTTTGTCTTGGCAGTCATCCAGGTCATGGTTATCCCAATGATGCTTTTTTTCAAAAAAGGCAACTGGGCTTCATTTTTCCTAGGAAAACCAAAGTCCAGTTGCCTTCAGAAAAAGCACCCATGGGACAGTCAGTGTGGACTAAAACAGAAAAGAGACTATCAGCATTATCAACAGTTAGATATTGCACCCTCAAAAGTTCACCTTGGCACATACTTTTTATATTTTTTGATTGCACATCATTGAAATTTCGTCTCTTCCTGTTTCATGTCAGAGCCAATTCCCTTGAATGGTGTTTGCTCCTGCAGAAGTTTGGCCTTGTGTGATTGTGATTAGCTTGCCCACACAAGTTGTTACTTGGTATTTAAATCATCAGATGATAAACAGGCATGTGGGAATTGGCCTGAGGCATGTACTCCAGAATTGCATTCGATTTTGGTGAAAAAACAGAGTAATCAGTCGCGTGATTCTTCTCCGTCAGCCATTATATCATACAATATAGCTTTTGGGGGCAGTAAGAAGAATTATTTGAATCATAATAGCTGACATCAGAAGTATTAACTAATTTAAAACAAAGCTGGGCTTATTGAGATTTGTACTTTCTATTTCCTTTGAATTGGCTTCCTTTCTGCTAGAAAGGAAACTATCTTATTTCATTCTCTCATATCCTTCTATTTCATTTCTTTATTTCACAACTGTCACCCTGTCACCACTATGGAGTTCAAATAAAATATAAAATAGGTAAGATTTATTAAGCCCTTTTGTGCCTGCTGCGAACTGGTAGAAGTGTACAGCAAAACAGTAAATTGCAACTGGTAATCTGCTCAATTATTTCATTTTGCTAAAGAGAATTCAATCAAGCATGCAGGTCAAGCAGTTGGACCTTGGCCTAGTGACTTTTACCCAGCGTGCTTTAAACAGAGCCTTCTTTAGCAAGATTTGTTGAAATCAGAGGCAAAGCATTACCAGAAACCTGGCAATTGAACTATTTCCCATTTAGAAACAATACCTGTGCACCTTCAGTCATCCAGGTTGCAGTTGTCGCAAAGGTCCTTTTTTTTTTTTTTTTTTCAAAAGGCCACTGGACTTTCTTTGTTTTACCTTGAAGGCATTTCTCTCAGAGGTGGGTATTCAGCAGGTTCTGGCCAGTTCTGGAGAACCGGTAGCAGAAATTTTGAGCAGTTCAGAGAACTGGCAAATCCCACCTCTGACAGGTGATTTTACAGTATCCTTCCCTTGCCACGCCCACCAAGCTATGCCCACAGAACCGGTAGTAAAAAATTTGAATCTCACCACCAATGATTTTGCTTCTCATCCAAGAAGCTTCTTCAGTCCTTCAGTTGATTGAAGAAACCTCTTGGATGAGAGGTGAAATGTCTTCAAGGAAAAACCAAGAAAGCCCAGTTGCCTTTTGAAGAAGAAAAAACCACATTTGAGAATATCTGTATGCCTTCCTTGCAGGGTGGGGGAATTCTAGGGAAGAGCAACAGAGAAGATTAGGCGACTGGAGGTGAAAACATAATAAAGAACAGTTGCAGGAATTGGACATGTCTAGTTTAATTAAAAGAAGGACTAGGGGTGATATGATAGTCGCGTTCCAATATTTGAGGGGCTGCCACAAAGAAGAGGGGGTCAAGCTATTCCCCAAAGCACTTTGAAGGCAGGACAAGAAGCAATGAGTGGAAACTAATCAAGGAGAAAAGCAACTTAGAACTAAGGAGAAATTTCCTGACAGTTTAGAACAATTGATCAGTGGAACGACTTGCCTTCAAAAGTTGTGGGTGCTCCATCAATGGAAGTTTTTTAAGAAGAGATTGGACAACCATTTGCCTGAAATGGCACAGTGTTTCATCCCTGGGGGCTGGACTAGAAGACCTCTAAGGTCCCTCCCAACCCTAGTTATTCCATTATTCTGAAAGTTGAAGTCCACACATCGTCAAATAGTCAAGGTTAGGAAACGCTGGCCTAGAGTTTGTGAAATTTTAAAAAGAAATGAATTGTTTGATTCTATTGATTCAAAAAACCCCATGCTGAAACCAAGGGTCTAATTCAGAGAGAGAGAGAGCAGAAAATAAACCATATGCTAAGGGGAGGGCCTAATAACAGACATTTCTCTTTCGCAAGAACAGAAGAACTAGTGATGAAAGTGCCTTTGTATTCTTTGTGTTCCAACATTTTATTAATTGACAGATTAGCGTTGATGCTTGATGGTTCGTTCAGTCCTCACACATCTGCTAGGGGGAAATATAACTGTCTGGATCACCGAGAGATATTCTTACATGCAGCTGTCTGCAGATTACAGAAATTGCAGTCATTCATCAGTTAACGTTCCTACGATTCCTCAATTAAAATGTATTTGCATATCAATGGAATGATTGAGCTGACGGGGGGGGGGGGGGGGGCTGGATTGTGTTTGGATGACACATATGTATGTCAAAACGTTCAGGGTGTTTCTTTTTTAAAAAAAAGTTCTGTCTGAAAACATATTAGTCATTTGTATTGCAATGATTTTATACTTGTCCCAAATAAGACACATTAAAGAAAAATAACATAATTAATTATTTTTTGGAAGCTCTGCCTAATTTATATCTTCAAGGGAGAATAACAAGAAAGAGGAAAATGAAGTCCTCTTGTCTCATAAACACAAAGTTGTTAAAGTAAAAAAAAATCAACTTTAATTGTTCTATTCCATGTTTTTAATCTGCCTCCAGTGCAAATATGCTATTTATATGATTTTTATGCTTCTAATTATACACTGCCCAGAGTTGCTCTGTGAGTGAGATGGGTGGTCTCATTAATCTGACAAAGGAGAGAGGGAGATATTGGCCAAGGGAAAGAAATAGGTCGTAGCAACGTTTGAAGAGCCTTCCCCTTATCTATTCTTTGCTCAACTGGTCTAAGGGCTCATTGGGTGCAATTTCCAATATTATGTAATTCCCAACATAATCATTTATTGGTATTCCAGTCTCGTGTAGATCTTCTGGGGAGGAAGCTGTGTGAAACACAAGGGCCTTTCATTCTTATTCATCCAAGAGACATAAAATTACATCTGCAACTCTATTTCAAGACACCTTGAGTTCTGGTTAGAGAAAATCCATCAGTTGTTTGGAGGTGGGTGCCCTGAAATAATACATAATTGTTCTCCGGTATCCTCACTCAAGGCTGAGGATAGGGACAGTCAAGCCTAATTGCCTTTTTGTACTGAATATAGGACTTAAAACTCTCCATGTTATAAACCTAGATGTCAAAGAGGACATCTAGGCAAGTTAACTTTCTAAATGTATGAATTGATTGATTCTCGTACCTTTTCTTAATGAAAACAAGATTTAATCCCCCAGGATAGAAATCTAGAAACCAGGGAGGGTCTCTAGGCAAGCTGATTTCCTGAACGGATGGATGGATGGATGGATGGATGGATGGATGGATGGAAAGGGGAGATATAGGGCCATGACTCGAATGCACAGAAAGAGGTACATCATATCCCAGCAAGGACTAAAGCTCTGTCTTTTTGTGTCAAATGTTGTGGTCAACTTGCTTCCCTTAATATTCAAGTGACTTTCCTATTGGTTGTCTGTAACCAAGCACGCCGGAAATGCCTTCTGCCTATTTTCAATTAACACCCTCCTCCCTCACTGGGGGCTTGTCCACTAAATTTATTCATACTATTCCCCTCCTTCCACAGTGGCAAGAAACATGTTGCTGTGGCGACTGAAAACAGGTAATGTGTATTTCTGTTTGTTTCCGTGTTTCCTCCCAGTCTCAGGTCCAGCACATAATAGTCATAGTCAGCAAACTTTTACGCGGACCTCGCTAATAGTGGGTTTTTAAACCCTCCTAACGTAATCCTGGATTTGTGGCTATTGGGTCGATGTGGTCCTTGGGTAGACTACGCATTTCCACTATGACATCTCTTTAATTCATTCGACAGTTGGTTTTATATTTGTAAGCGTGTGAAACCTTCCCTTGAGATTGAGTTCCATTTTAGTCAAGGTGGGTATTAAGTTTCGAATATAAACCAGCTTGAGATATAGTACATCTTTCCTATTTTAAGTATGTACGCTTTTTTTTAAAAAAAAATAGACGTTTTGAGCACTTACGACCTCACAAAGGGGCTTCTTTGCACTGTTGATTGGGCTTCCTGATTCTTCCTTGCATGGAGGCTGAAGGGGTGAACATCGCAGGGTGAAATATTTGCACCTCTTTTTCTTCATTAGGGGAAGAGTGTGAAGGGGCAGAAACCAGGGGTGGGCTTCTGGGGGTTCGTAGGGGTTCGGGAGAGCCCCTAGCTAAGATTCTGTGCAGTTCAGGGAACGCCCAAATCCCACTCCTGGCTGGCCCTGCTCACCCTGCCCCGCCCCTCCCAGGCGTCCCCACACGATCCGTTTTGGATGCAGGTAAGTGCAGGGCCCGCGTAGAAGCTCAGGGAAGGTGAAAAACGGGCCTCCCGGAAGTTTGGACCCATTTCTGGCTTCCAGAGAGCTTCCGGAGCCCGGGGAGGCCATTTTCACCCTGGAGGAAAGCCTCCGGAGCCCGGGGAGGGCAAAAACACACACACACCGCCATGGTGCAGGAGGCCAACTAGGCCACACCCACCATGGCCACACCCACCCAGCAACCAGGCGGAGAACCCGTTGCTAAAATTTTTGAAGCCCACCCCTGGCAGAAACCTCCCCTCGTAACTATGAGTCAGTTGCCAAGCATCCGAATTTTGATCACAAGGCCCTGGGGGCGTTGCAAAATGGTCGTATGAGTGAAAAACTGTCATATTTTTTTTCAGTGCTGTGGTAACTTTGAACAGTCACTAAATGAATTGTTGCAAGTTGTGGACTACCTGTATTCTGGGTTAATTCACATTTTTTTCCTCGTATGTTGGGCGTGTTGATTATTATGTCACCTGTAAAAAAACTGGATGTTTTTTGCCTGTTTCTTATTTTTTTTGTTTTGTTTTTGCTATTTTTTTTCCTCCAAAACCAGGTGAGGAGAATTAACAAATAGCACACATGTATTTGTGTGTGTTATGTATGTGTGTACAGAAAATATCTATTTCATATGTAAATCAAATTATTATTTCAATAAATCGAGAATTGAAGCTCACGGCTATAGCAAATTAAGTCACAGGCTGCCTGCTGGAAGGGTTGTATAGCTAGTCCTCGATTTACATCTACAATTGAGCTCAAGATTTCTGTTGCTAGGCTATACAGGTGTCAAGTGAATTTTGTCCCATTTTACGACCATTCTTGCCACAGGCGTTAGGTGAATCACCGCAGTTGCTAAGTTAGTAATGTGGTAGTTAGGTAAATCTGACTTCCCCATTAATTTTGCTCGTCAGGGTGTCGCAAAAGTTGAGATCACGTGACCTTGGGACCCAGCAATGGTCGTAAGTATGAACCGGTTGGCAAGCATCTGAATTTTGGTCATGTGACTATGACCAGTGGTCATAAGCAGAGTCCCCAAACTTGGCAATGTTAAGGCTTGTGGACTTCAACTCCAAGAATTCTAAGAGTTGAAGTCCACAAGTCTTAAAGTTGCCAAGTTTGGAGACCCCTGGTCATGTATGAAAAACGGTCATAAGTCTCTCATTTCCATGCCATTGTAACTTTATATGGTCACTAAATGAACTGTTGTAAGTCAAGGACTACCTGTAGTTGCTTAGACGATTATCTTGATACTTTTAGACTTTTTGTTCTTTTCCCTTCCCTTTTCTTTTTTCTCCACTTCATTACTTGTGATTTCCTTCCTGATTTTTATTAACTAATTTGATACTCATCCTGGTTGCTATCACATCGTTGTAATCATACAACTGTTTGTGACTTACTGTTATACATCATTTGTTGGCCTTCTTTTAATTTCCACAAGCTTGAGGTTGTTTAGGACTCCTACAGAGAGCTTCAGAACACAAAGTACAAAACAGAGACAGGGGGGGAAAGGAAATTATACATAATGGAGGACCGTAGTGTACTTAAAGATAAATGGTTTGTATGTAACTATACAACATTAGAGGTTCTCAAAATTTGCAGGATCACAGTTCTCCACAGTGGACTTGAACAAAATCCAGAGAAGGGGAAAAACGGAAAATGGATAACTATGGAGTACTTAATGCTTTGAATGAAACTGTACTACTTTAGAGATTCTCAAACTTTGGCATGATCACAGTTGTCCACAGCAGGCTTTAACAAAGTCAATTTCTAGTAGGTAGAGTAGGAGATGATAGTAGCAAACCTGGAGTGAGTTTGCCCAGATAAAACATTTCCATCTTGCCTGATCTTTTAAAAAAGGAATTGCAATCTTTTTTGAATTGCTCAAGACCCACCTGTAGAATGTGTGTGTGTTTTTGTGCACAAGAATGAAAAAACGTTTTATATTTTTCCAGTGAATATTGGAACTAAAAATAAGATACATGGAATGTTCAACATGTTACTTTTTTAGTGGGATAACTAACTACCGACTTGAAATATTTGGAAAGAAACCTAAGCACATTCTGAGGATTCAGATCAAGATTTTTTTTTGCTATAGAAAATGTAATAACATAATTTTCAAGAGCTAAAATATTCAAAGAAGAGAGTTGGGAAGGTAGCTTTCCCAGTATCACTGATCTTGCATTCCACTGTGAAGCACAAACTCTACAAAATTATGTCTGGACTAGATCCAGCTCTGAGATCAACCAATGCAACGAAGTCCAAAATTATCAGCCCAAACGTCTCAGAATTGACCCCAAACACACCCTAAATACTCTCTATCATATCAGCAGGAGATGTTATGGTTGGGTCTGCGGAGAACAGTGTCTACGGAAAACGCTTTCCTGAAACAGCTGGACTCTAGATTTACACCTAGTAGGGTAACTCATAAATAACAGTTAGAAAATAACAGATCTACTCTGCAGGATATCAAATCTTGGTAAGGATTTTATACTAATGGACCAGTGAAAGAAGCTGGCAGTGATCCACTTCCTATCACTGTCCAATTCATGTCACTGTCTAATTCCACTTGCCACTCTTTTCTTCCCTTTAACTGATAACTGGAAAACCAGATGGTATTGTCACTGAGGTAATAGTTAATAAAGGCAAAATCCACTGAGGTATTAAATGAGATCAATTGTATGTCTGGTGCTCATATAAATGATGGTAATGATGTTTGAAGGGTCTCACAATTCTTGGCAGCTAAGTCACTTAAAATGCTCCCGAAGAAACCATAAGGTCAAATTGTTGGGGCTACCTGCGTTTTGTTCCAGTCATTAATGATCTCTTGAGTGTGTCCTTGGGATGGTGCTGGAGAATGCTGTAGGGCAGGGGTCTCCAACCCTGGCAACTTTAAGATTTGTGGACTTCAACTCCCAGAATCTCATAGCATGGCTGATTGGGGAATTCTGGGAGCTGAAATCCACAAGTCTTAAAATTACCAAGGTTGGAGATCTCTGCTGTAGGATGCTGACTGCCATTTCTTGAGTCTTCCTATTCCTCTAATTTTCTCCTGAAGGGCAGGGAAGTGGGTGGCTTGCTCTTGATGAGTCTCATAACCCAATTTGCTATGCCATGTTGTGATGGTATAATGTTCTTGACAAGGCCCAGCTGTTCTAGTTTTAGGTCTCCATGCAGTAGATGTAGTAGCATCATGTAGAAGTAGTAGATGATCATGAAAATGGTCTAGCCCAACCCTTTGGAATATTTGTACATATCTGGTACAAATCCAACTAATAAGTGGATCGCATTTGAAAGGTCTCCCTGATAACTAAATCTCACCTGCATGTGGAAAGCTAGGCTTTGTTCCCATCAGAAGAGGATCCCCAAAGAGATGAAGTGTTCCCTATGGTTATAGAAATAATAGCAATAGTACTTTATAGTGCTTTCCAGACCTCCCTAAATGGATTAAAGAGTCAGCCTCTTGCCCCCAACAATCTGGGTCCTTATTTTACCCACCTTGGGATGATGGAAATCTGAATCAACCTTGAGCCTGGTGAGATTCGATCTGCCGAAGTTCAAGCAGCTGGCAGTCAGCAGAGCTAGCCTGCAGTACTGCACTTTAACCACTGAGCCACTGAGGCTCTGTATCTAAATAAGATGTGCAAACATTTGGTTTTGAGGAACTCTAACCCCTAAAAGAGGACATGTTCAGGTTATAAAGATGTACAATGGAGAATTAAGATGTCAGGTTCATTTGGCCCAGGCTGGATCCCAGAAATACTTTCCTTGAAGGAATTATACAGGTCAATAGAGAAAGAAGAGGGTGAACGAGGTGAGGCATGAATTAAACCAGTAATGATCTGAGAACTGATGACCAGGTCAAAAATTGACAGAACCAGCCTTCTACTTAGCACATGTGTGAGAGAGAGAGAGAGACAGAGGGAGGGAGGGAGGGAGGGAGAGAGAGAGAAAGAGAGAGAGGTGTTCTAAAAGCAGCCAAGTTGGGTAAAAGAAGAAAATGCTAAGAAATATGCTCAAGCAATAATTTGTTGTCAGTACGAAGAGGCCTCCAAACATTACCATTCTTTCCTTCCGCCTTTCCTTTTGACACCCTGTTTGTTATCACATGTACCCCATTTTTTTAAATCAACAGCTCAGAGGATGCTGAAAATTTGCGGACCCAACAATAATGAAAAAGGCCAATCCTTTCCCCACCTGTATGATCTAGATCAGGGGTGTTAAAGTCGTGGCCTGTGGGCCAGATGCGTCATGCGCTGGCCACGCCCACCCCCAGTTTAGTGAAGGGGAAAAAGTCACGATTCGTCACTGTCAGGATTCCAAGTAATAAATCCATGGCAAGCAAGACTCCAAGGCAATTGATTTCCTCAAAGAATACTTTTATTGGGATTATCATATTGGCACATATCTGGTACAAACCGACTCTGAAAACTCCCACGGTTTTCACCTAATTAAAAGTGAAAGATTTTCTACTTCTCAAAACAATCAGTCACATGGTCCAGTCACCATGAGGTCTGACAGCCAGGTAGCATCACTCCGCTTTCCTCCAACCAGGTGTGAGAATGTCCTCGGTTCCCAAGAGAAAGTGTTTTATTTTGGCTACAAAATCCCCTCTATCTCAACTCCCCACTCCCTATCCCTCAGGTCCCGTGTGGCAACACTGAAGCGGACAAAATGGCGTTGGTTAGGCCAGCTTCAGGGTTGAAGTCATGTGATGACAACATGATGCTAACCATGATCTAGATCAGGGGTGTCCAACCTTGGCAACTTTAAGACTTGTGGACTTCAACTCCCAGAATTCCTCAGCCAGCAAAGTCCACAAGTCTTAAAGTTGCCAAGGTTGGACACCCCTGATCTAGATCCTATCACATCTCCTGCCTTGATTGACCAACTGATGCATCTTCCCACAGTGGGGATTCAGAGAGCTGGTGAGCGGACTCTCTTAGTCTCTTACCATCACCACCCCAAGTGTACCCAAGCCCTAACCAATGTCCTCAACCCCTGATCTCCATTGTCCTTTTGAGCTGTGCTTCCAAAACCCTGAAGCAAGTTCACCTGCCTCTTTGTATGTATCTTTGTTGATCTACCACCTTGGTGGACCAGTCGAGGCCCAGCATTTAAAGATACATCTTGTTTTATCCAATTTAACTTTAACTTTAGTACCCCTGTTGAGCATGAGCCTGTGTCTATCAGCTGCGCTCCTCCTGCTATGCCTGCTGCTTCGGCCAGTCCGTCTTCTGCTGCTGCTGCTGCTTCTTCTTCTTCTCACAGTGGTGCCCATCGGATGACGCTGCTGCCAGCTTCTGCTTCATCTGGGGCTTATGATTCCATCTCATCCTCCTGCCAAAGGTAAAATTTTGTGCTTGTTCGCTCCATCCAGTTGCTTTGGTGTGTGCCCTCCACTAGGACAAGGAATTAATTCAATTTAAGGGGAAGTGGGAAGGGTAAAACAAAAACAAAAAACCTTCCACGTATCTTGGAACCTTTAGTACTGTACAATAAGTTGTTCTCCACAAGGTTAGCCATCTTCTAGGGGTCCCTTGAAGAGATGCAGGCAATAACCAGGAATACAAATTCCTGTAAACAAAAAGAATATCAGGGTAATCAATGCATTTTTGTTAGGGCTGTTTTAAAACCTCTGTCATTGCATTGTCTTCTACTGAATAATTGCTTCAGTTTAGCAACTGAAACTGTGCTTCCCCAAAAAAATTGATCTCAGTTTTCGGAGAAGCTTAGTTTGGAGAAGAAGACCAGTCTGCAAACTCACAACGCACAAATCACTCGCAAAATTGCATCACTGTATGATTAATATTATCACTCTGATCATCTCGTATCAGGGCAAGCAGTGCGGTGGCCTAGAGGTGGAACTCTCGCCTCACAATCAGGTTCGATCTTAGGTAGAGGCAGATATTTCTCTCTCTGGGCACACTGAGAATCTATCTGCTGAACAAAACTCCACATTGGCAACGGGAAGGGCCTCCGGCCAATAAACACTCTGCTAGCTCGATTCAGTTGCCCAGACTCCACCCCACAAGGGATTATGGGGTCATAAAATAATGATGATCTCATATCAGGGCCCATCTTTGTACGTACCTGGTAAGCCCAGAGGTGGGGGGTTTTTTCTGCTCATAATTTGTAAACCTTCACTGGAATTATCTAAACTAGAACAATGAATTCCAATGGATCACATTTCCTTGGGAGGATGCCAGTGTGATCTGTCACCCATGCAAATCAAAGCTTCATTTCTAGATTCACAGAAAGCCAGAAAAATCCACCTATGTTCTTTTCATTCTTCCAGGGTACACTAAATCCCCTGTTACAACAGCTGGATCTTTTCCCAGAAAAAGACATTAAATTGTACGTAATTAATTGATTTTTTTTTTAAAGTTTCTTGGAATATTCTAGACAGTTGGTAGTACTTTGCTACCACATGAAATATTAATAAATATCAATAAACAATTCTGCTAGCCATGTGCTGAGTGTCTGTGATCCCATCTCAATCCAAAAATTCTCCAGGCAGCCTTAGGAAAACCACTCTTTCCCCTGTTTTTACCTGCAGAAGAGAATAGCCTCGTGAGCTGTGGTTTAAACTCTAGAGATCGTGTGTGTAGATCATTACTTAAAAGTCAAGCATTTTATTATTGTTGTTGTTGGCTTAAGATAGGCTGCCAAAAAAATAGTTGGCAGAACTCTGAAAACGGAGTGGTTCAATGTTGACTCACATCTATGGAGTTTTTCCCCGCAAAGCAAAGCTTCCTTCTTGGGCCATTAAATAGCTGTGGCCATTGCTTTGTAAGCAACTTTTGTGATATTTGCAATCCCCATGTTCGATTCATTTGAGATCTGGAAAAGGACAGGTTGATTTGTAAGAGAGATGAAAGAGGAGGGGAAGAGAGAGAGAGGGGAAGACAGAACCTTGTTTCCAAATAGGCATTTGCTGGTCGTATAATTCAAAAGCCATCCTTGAAGGCAGGGGTGCCATTCAACCAGTTAGGTGAGCGCACGCTTTGTGCATGGATGCGGGCCAAAGGCACAGTTTGCACGTGCATAGAGCATTTGCTACTGACCTGATCTCCAGCAATCCCTGCGCGTTAAACAGCTGGTGTTTGGCAATCTGCTTTGACGTGCAGATCAGCTGACCTTGAAAAACAGGATATAAAGCACAGCCTAGAGCTGGGCGGGCAGGTGGGCCCAACAGCTGATCATCGGAGCAAACCGAACCAGTTTGCTCCCAGCTAATCTTCAGAGCTACCGGTTCGCCTGAACTGGGCCATACCAGTAGAATCCCACCCCTGCTTGAAGGGTCTAATCATCAACCTCGTTTTAAAATCTCACTTGAGTTAAACCATGGAATAAAAGTCCAAAAGCTTTTCTGAGGTCTTGTTCTGACCAAGGCTTCCTGAGACAGTAACAATCACACGCTGTTCCCAAAAACCTTTTGTTTTATTTCAACGGCTGTGTACTATATGCATTCACAGCCCATAATGAGTCCCAAACAGTTTGTGAATAGTCCAACAGAAGCCTGCCACAATCCTTCAGGATAAGGCTGATAAGCACCCACCTTTATCTCCCTTGAAATGCTGCTAACAACTAAATTGCCAATTAACTGTACAAGGCCAAATGGAACACAAAGTCAAAATGGAGCTTCAGATTTAAAACCAACCAGAATGAACAAAGTTGCTTCCTGCAAAGGCTCGTGTCCCTTTGCTCCTCCTTTATGTCTTATGGGAGGGGCTAATCATCTCCAAGCCTTACTCCCAAGTTTCCCCTTTTGTCTTAACTGTTCTTGCCTTCTGGCAGCTCTGTGCAAGCGCGCATTGAGAACAGGCTCCCCCTGTTCCTCTGCCTTGCTGATGTCTGGATTCTGGAGGCTCCAGAGTCAGCACATAACTCCCAGATGGCCCTGGCCTCATCTCTGTGTCAGATCCAGATCCCACATCCGAGCCCACCCCCCCACCCCCCCAGATTCCAGGACTGGCCCATGTTCCTCCTCACGGTCGGCAGAGGTGGACCACAGCAGGTCTTGTGGAAATGATGAACGTGGTTAGGCCTTTCCAATTCCTTCTTATTAAGTGATGCACAGTGCATTTGAAGCACTTTGCATTTCCTACAACTTGAGAAGGAGCCTTGATTGTCCCAAGGAACTTGGAGATATAAGCAGTTGCAGTCTATTAAAGGGGTATTCGTAGCACCCCATTTTATCACAAACTTTGTGGGTATGTGCCAGTCTTCTACTCTGCTTACCCACCAATAGTTCTTTCTTGCAATATTAATCAGGACTCAGTTGAAATGTACTAAGGATGGAGAATGGTAGATGTATCTAACTGGACAGGAAAGCCTTTTCTAACAGATTTGTTGACCTTTTGAGGCAAATGAAAACTGTAACTCAGAAAGAGATCTAACTATGATCAATTCATATTTAAAATTCAACATAGATACATGCACAAAGTGAAAATAAATTCTGGTCTTGTTCCTTTACATCATCTTCAATTTCATTATCAGGCACATTTGAAGCACCCAAATAAATAAGAAGTTTTCAGGGAGTGGGAAGAGAAAGCACTTTATTCAATTAGATATTTATTAATTGATGGGAAAATGTTTTTCTGCTAAATCTATTCCGCAAGAAAATGAGTCACAAGTTCCAACTCGGTTTCAAAAGAAATGGCAAGACTTTTACTCGGAGGTGTTCAGAAATTAATTACAAAATCTGGCTTTGAGCCAGAAGTCATGCTGCTTGAAATGAGGAAGAAGTGGTGGTAGCCTGAGTCAGGAATTGTTAGTCAGACCAAAGTACTTGAAAAGTCTTAAATTCAGACATTTATCATTAAAGGAGTTTGGAAACATTCCCGAAATCTAAAGCTGAATTGGTCACAGGAATTCAAAGACAATTGAAAACAGGAGCTCAGACCACAAAGAATTTTAACCCTCAAAATACTGCAGCTGAAATCATATTTTTATGGAGCCTACATTCAGAGATATCAAATCTTACCCCTGTTTCAGTTGATTCCAGATCTCGAAGAATCAGGAAAGTTGGTAGTATGTTCATCTTTCAGATTCTTGAGATCTTGATCTTCTCCTAGTTCTTGGATTCAGCATTTAAGCAATGGTTCCCAGTATCAGCTATTCTTATCAGAGACAGGAAGAGGAATTAAACACATCAGAATACTATTTATTCATGTAATTTGAAATGAAAGAAGTCTCTGTGGTACTACATAAACTTTTATATTATATGCAACGGTATCCAACTGACAAGTGTAATGTAGAATTCTGGTGGTATCAGTTTGCTTTTAAAATCGGTTTCAACAAATCATGAGGAATTCGAAGTGTGCAAAGCATTTTTCCCCCCTCCTGGCACATTACAAAAGTGGAATGGCATACTGACACTCAAGTAGGATCCGTGTATCAGAAGTGATTTCTCCTGAAAGAGACAATGGTCACATTGGTACAGAGTTTGGAAGACCAATTTCAGCACTAGAAAATGGGTCTTTCTCCAAAGTTCAAGACCAGGGCTGGAGTTGGGATAAATGTTGGAATGGACATGCCAAGGTCAGAATATTCCAATCTTTTTTTTTTAATTCTCTCTCAAGAACTGTGGACTGAAATAATTCATAGATAATAATAATATGCAACATCCCCTTAAGATTCAGATACTGATCGTCCTCTTTTAACGATCCCATAAATCCCTTGCGGGGTAGAGTCTGAGCAACTGAATGGAGCTGAGTGTTTACTGGCCAGATGCCCTCCCTGTTGCCAATACAGAGTTTTTTTCCAGCAGATATATCCTCAGTGTGTCCAGAGAGAGAAATATCTACCTCGACCTAGTATCAAATTCACAGCCTCCTGATTAAAATTTAGACACTGATACTGAAGATAATTTTATTACCTTTCAACTCCTAGCTATATCTCCTTAAAACCACATTATATTCATCCAACTCTCTCTTCTGTGAGCTTCATCCAGCGTTCTCTAGAAACCCCCTCAAGCTGGGAGATAGCAGCGGAGAGGCGAGGACATGGCTTGGATATGGATAGGCCAGCTGTTTTTACGGCAGGTCCAAGAAGACCTAGTCATGAAGAATGTGGAATTGCAGGGCTGGAAGGGATCTTAGAAGTCTTCTAGTCCAGGAAGAAAGCTAGCTGGTACAGATGCACACAATTCAATCCTCCTTTGTTAAGAGACACCTCAGGATTTAAGTCTAGGTGCCATTCCCCTGTCTATACATGGTGACCACCAAATTGCTGTTCATTTATCGATCTTGGATGTGGTGACCAGGGGGGAGCTGCTTGCGGTTCGGGAGAGCCTCTAGCTAAGATTCTGCGCAGTTGGGAGAACCCCAAATCCCATTCCTCGCTGGCCCCGCCCATCCCGCCCCACCCCTCCCTGGAGTCCCCATGTGGCCCGTTTTGGATGCAGGCAAGTGCAGGGCATGCATAGAGGCTCAGGGAGGGTGAAAAATGGGCCTCCCAGAAGTTCGGAAGGCCATAAATGGATCAGAAAGCCTCCGGAGCCCAGAGAGGCCATTTTCATCCTCCCAGAGGCTCAAGGAAAGCCTCCGGAGACTGGGGAGGACAAAAACGAACCCCCTGCTCTGCTGCAGGAGGCCAACTAGGCTATGTCCACCATGGCCACGCCCACCCAACCACCAGGCAGAGAACCCTTTGCTCAAATTTTTGAAACCCACCCCTGAAGGTGACCACCTATTTTGATGGCAGCCTTATCTCAGGCTTGTTGCTTTCCAGACACGGTAACCTTAAACTTCCCATGTCTAGACTGTGTTTGTACTCGTACTGATGTATATTACCATCTCTGGAGCAATGCCAACTCAGCTACTCCCTCTGATTGAAACTTTTCGGGAAATTAGAAAGATTGCACAACAGTCCTTCATAAATAACACTAGTGCGGCTTGATTGCTCCCAAGGAGATGTAAAATGGTGCACCAGGAGAAATTTAATTCACTTGTTAGCTGCCAGATTTATTAAGGCAGAGCATCAAAAAACTAGAGTGCAGCTTTTAAAAATCGGTGGTATTTAGACAAGAACGGGAAACCTCATCAGCTCAAAACTTTAATGCAATAGCAAAGTAGCTTAGAGTATCGTTTTATACACACATAGAGAGAGAGAGAGAAACACACACACATACAATTTTTAGTAAAATTGTATAGTAAAAACCATAAGAGAAAATAATGTTAACAAAGAATAGAAAATAGAGCAAAAAGAAAATAGAAATGGGAGGAAAAAGAAAAGGGAAATTATAAAAACAGCTTCTAATCTTCTTGACAGCAGTTCATTTATATGTTGCTCTCTAAAGTTACAATGTTCCAAAATAAATGATCTTTTCTAATCTTCAAATCCATAATTCATAAGCTCATTTTTCTTGTTTGTTTTTTTCCTTTTTCAGCAAAAAGTCCATAAGGTTTCCGTTGTTAATCTTTCTCTAATCAAACAGGTTAATTTGACATTTCTGCTAGCTCTGTCAACTTCAAAAGGCATTCTTCCATTGTGGATGTTTCAGAATCCTCACAACAGTAATCCTATATAAAAACAATCTTCCACGGATCTTTCCATGCAGTGTCATTTAAATACAAATTGTTTTACTGACATTTAGCCTTCACTAAATGCGTCAACAGAAAAATTGCCAATATATTGCTTTGGTCTAGCTATCCAAATATGTGCCAGCTGAAAGTGTTATATTGGGATGTCTAACGTTTTACATTTCTCCTAAAGATTATAATTGTATTGATACAAGTTATTCTCCCAAATTTTGTTTTTGTTTTTCCCTTGTTTGAGTAGTTTTTAATTTTGTTGTTGTTGTTCTTATGTTGTTTCTGATATTTGATGTTGTGTCAATGACTTTGTAAATAGCTGATTGTCTTTAACTTTTCTAAACATGATTTCTCCTTCTAACCTACAAGTATGGAGCTGATCTCATATTTTGAGTTGTAAGAAGTTTTGTAAAATTACTTAAGAGCTACACAAGGAAACACAGATTTGGTCTGGAGCCTTCTTGGTGTCTCCCATCCATCCTACATCTAATGGTTAAGCTGCAACTCTTAATTCCTTATCATCTGTTCAGCCACATTTACAATCATGAAGATGTTGTTATATTTTTCTGAATTATAGCCTAAAAGGAACTTTTCTATCCCTTCTTCTTCTCTTCCAACGCAGCCATGAGAATTTGGAAGAATTCCTTTCCTGTATTTTATCTGCAAATTATTTCTATACCTACCCAGAGATGGGTATAAGATGGGTGACTATATAAATGTCATGAATGAATGAATGAATGAATGAATGAATTTGATTGCTGAGGTGCAACAAAGGGCCATTGTCTTAACTGTAGTATGTCTGCCATCAGTCAGTTCATGGGTTACAAAGCTGTGTGGTTTATTTATTTATCTATTGAATTTCAGTACCCTCCCCATGTCACTCTCAAGAGTTTTCAACAAACCCAGAGCTAAGTTTTGTTAGGACAACATTTTAAGGCAAAGTTTCTTCAAACCAATTTAACAGAGTGTAAGACTGCCTTTTAAGGTTTGGTAGATATCTTAAACAAGGTCTGATCGACCCCCAAAGGAAAAGAATTAAAGCTTCTTGCAGACAGCCAAAAGAGGAGAAAATGGGTAGAAATTATAAGAAACGGAGCAAATTCATTCCAGTCCCCATGGTTAATTGGAAGAGCAGGCATCAGCTAAACCTCTGCCTCTCTGAGAGATAGAAACACCAGGAAAAACCCGGTAGATGGTTGTTTGGTGGTAATAGCCCTCTGCTACAAATGCAGTGCTCTCAGGGGCTGCCACAAAGCAGAGGGAGTCAAGCTATTCTCCCAAACCACCTGAGGGCAGGACAAGCAGCAATGGGTGGAAACTTATCAAGAAGAGAAGCAACTTAGAACTAAGGAGAAATTTCCTGACAGTTAGAACAATTAATGAGTGGAACAACTTGCCTCCAGAACTCATAAACTCTCCAACACTGGAAGCTTTTAAAGAAGAGATTGGAGAACCATTTGCATGAAATGGTATAGGGTTTCCTGCCTAGGCAGGGGGTTGGACTAGAAGACCTCCAAGATCCCTTCCAACTCTGTTATTCTATTCTATCCCTTAAGAATGTACAGTCTTCAACATAACAACTATTCATTTAGCTAATGTTGAAAATGACGACGGCACTGAAAAAAGAGACTTGTGGCTCCTCACATTCAAGACTCCCTACAGCATCCCAATTTGGGGTGCTTGGCGAGTGACACGTATTTAGAAGAGTTGCAGCATCCTGGGATGATGGGATCACTGTCAGTGTTCCAACCAACAAACTCCAAACCAATAAACTCTGAGACAGGCATTTACTCAAAGTTCCATTTTTACTTGAGTTGTCATTTTGGCACATCTGGGAAAACCCAAATCTGAGAGTTCCAGGTTTTCCCCTCCCAAAAGAAATTCAAAGATCCATCCCCTGCACTCACCAATCCATCACAATGGTCCAATCAAACCATCGTCCTAACTGGAGACCTTCCTCCAGACACTCCCATCCAGGTGCAGGGTAACATGTCCTTGACTCTCTGAGAAAAGAATGTTGTTGAGTCTAATCTTCTACTCTCTAAGAAATCCCCTTCCCAAATTTCCAGGCACTAAATGTGGCAACCTCGAAGCTTCCAAGTAAAATATGGCTTCCAAGGCTGACAATCCCAGTGGTTTCCAACAAGCAAAGTCAACAGGAGAAGCTGGAGTTGCTTAACAGCCATGTGGTTCATTTATCCATGGCCGGTGGCTTAGAAGGTTGTAAAATTGGGCACGAGCCACTGAACAACGATTTTGCTTAGCCAGGGAAATTCCAGTCCCTCTTGTTGTTATAAGCCAAGGACGAGGAGAGGGATCTTGGTGTCCTAGTGGCAACCATCTAAACATGAGCCAACAATGTGCGGCAACAGTAAAAAGAAAAGCAAATGTAATACTGGGTTGTATTAACAGATGGATAGAATCAAGATCACGCGAAGTAATAGTACCACTTTATAAAGCCTTAGTAAGACCACACTTGGAATAGTGCATCCAGTTTTGGTCACCACATTACAAAAAAGATGTTGGCACACTGGAAAGAGTTCAGAGAAGAGCAACAAAGATGCTTAGGGGCCTAATCATTGCAGGAACTGGGTATGTCTAGTCTAGTGAAAAGAAGGCTAGCAGTCTTCCATTACCTGAAGGGCTGCCACAGAGAAGAGGAGGCCAACTTATTTTCCAAAGCACCAGAAGACAAGACAAGAAACAAGGGATGGAGACTCATTGAGGAGAAAAAGCAACCTAGAACTAAGGAGAAAATTCCTGACAGTGAAAACAATTACCCAGCGGAACAGCTTGCCACCAGAAGTTGTGGGTGCTACATCACTGGAGGCTTTTAAAGAAGAGGCTGGGTAGCCATTTGTCTGAAACTGTCTCCTGCTCGAGCAAGGGGCTGGACTAGATGACCTCCAAGACCCCCTCTAACTCTGTTACTGTTACTAACTCTACTTTTTATGGAGCACATGTTACGTGTCCCTTTGCTGTAACAAAAATAATGAATGTCAGATCTTCTGTGTGTCTTCCCCTCTTCACAAATCTTGCTTATTTTTGTTGTTGTTGGAAATGTTATGCCTCCATCACACCTGTTTTATTCTTCTGCAGTTAAAAAACACACTGTCTTTTTTTTCTTTTTTAGCTTCCACCATCAAGCTGCGACTTCCACCTCCTACCAGTCCCAAAAGAGGTATCCCACTCAAAGCTTCTTGCTTTTCGTTTGACAGCTGATCGTTAGTAGAGCATTAATGCGCTCCTTATCTGCAGTGGCTTTGTTTCTCTGACAATTAATAGTTTCCAAACTTAATTCTTGCTTGCCCTGCAGACACGTCGCCTGGCTTACAGTCTTTCCAAGCTGTTCTGGCAAACCGCCGTCAGCTCCTTCCAAAACTTTCATTTTTCTCCCGTTCAAATTTAGACAGATCTCTTTTTACAGCTCAGCTCAGATCTTTTATTAATGGAGGGCTGTGCTTGTTTTCTCTCTTTCAGGAGGCCCCTGCATTTTCACTGCGAGAAAGTGTCCTCTGCCCTTCCTGTTTTAGTTCTGCTCCTCAAAGTTCTTGTTTTCGTTCATGCAAAGATTGCATGGAAGGTGTTTGCCTTTTGTATTAATTTGCCTGCTCCCAAATGAGATTTCCTTTAAATTGTTCTCCCTTAGAATAACAGCCGGGGTGGAATTCAACTGGTTTGGACTGGTTCTATAGAACCGGTTGTTAGGATTCTGCGCAGTTCAGAAAGCCAGCAAATCCTGCCCCTGGCTGGCCATGCCCACCCAGTCACATGGCCATGCCCACCTAGCCATGCCTACCCAGCCATGCCCATAGAACCGGTTGTTAAAAAATTTGAATCCCACTCCTGATAACAGCATATTGTAAAGCAATTTATTATTTATACACACACACACACACACACACACACACACAGAGCATATATAGCTTCCAGGAAAGGATGCTTGCAAGGTGATGTATATGACAAAAATAGATGAATAACGCATGCATATATATATTATTATATATTATTTTATTTTATATTATTATATTATATTATATTATTATAATATTATATATGTGTGTGTGTGTGTGTATACATACATACAAATATGTGTGTGTGTACATACCCTGTTTCTCCAACAATACGGCCTCCCCCAATAGGAAGTCCCAGCATGTTTTATAGGCATGAAATGAAATTAAGCCCCTCCCCCCAAAATTAAGACCTATATTAAAACATGCGAAATGGGGGGGGGATGGGGGGGGCTTGCCGTTAGGAAGTACTTTTGTTGCACACCTGGATATGGTGATGCCTGCATTGACCCCGATACGAAGTGCCCTACCAATGCCGAGGTCAACATCCAAGCCATCGCTGCCCGCCCACCCGAAGATGCAAGGGAGGGGAAATTAAGTCACCCCCGAAAAGACGGCCTAGCCATTTTTGGGGGGCTAAAAAAAAAATAAGACCCGGCCTTATTATATGAGAAACACGGTACATGCGTACACACATGTACATATATACATATATATAAATAAACCCGCATACATTATTCATCTATTTTTTTCATATACATCACCTTGAAAGGGTCCTTTCCTGGAAGCTAGTCAAGAAACAAATAATACATAAATATATCTATCTGTCTTTATCCTAGTACTTGTGGCTAGCGTTTGCTTCTCTTTGATATCATTATAATGCACACATATATATAATACAATTTAAGGAAAAAAACAGGCTTTTTTAAAAGAAGATGTTTGCATCTTGGAGATGTATAGGAAATGAACCCCATTTAAAATCCAAGGTGATCTTTTATATCAATCGAGGCAGTCCTTGTTTAGTGACCATTTGAAGTTACGATGACACTGGAAAAAGTGACTTCTGACCATTTTTCACACTTCCGACCGTTGCAGCATCCCCCGCTGATCAAAATTCAGACACGTAGCAACTGGTTCGTATTTATGACAGTTACCGCCTTTCTGGGGTCATAAGATCCCCTTTTGCAACTTTCCGACTAGCCATGTCCATGTTGCTGAAGGACCGATTTACTTAACAGCTTAACGTGACTAACTGAACAGCTGCAGTGATTCCCTTAACGACGGTGGCAAGAAAGGTTGTAAAATGGGGCAACAGTCACTTAACAACTGTCTCACTTAGCAATTTGAGCTCAGTTGTGGTCATAAATCAAGGACTACCTGCCATTCCACTTTATGCCTCTTGCAGGGATACAAAAGTTATTGGGTCAGCTTTTCGCTGGATTGACCGATTTTAAACCCGCAATGAGCTACAATGATCTGGTCAGAGCTTTCCTTGCAAGAAACAGAAAATGGTTCCCCCAAAATGTCAGATGTAACACACCTCTAGCTTTTTGTAAGGGAAACAAACACTCGATCTATGCTCAGAGAAGGAGTGGGCTGCTATGGGTTCGGGCGATCCTCTATCTAAGATTCTGCATGGTTCGGTGAACCGCCAAATCCCACCCCTGGCTGGCCCTGCCTGCCCCACCCCGTCTCTCTCACCCCTCCCCTCCCAGGAGTCTCTACATGGCCCCCTTTGAATGCGAGCTAAGTGCAGGGCCCATGTGGAGGCCCTCCAGAAGGCCTCCAGAGGCTCGAGGAAAGCCTCCGGAGACTGGGGAAGTTCTGGAAGGCCGGAACCATTTCCGGAGGGACTCGGGAGCCCCAGGGATGCTGTTTTCACCCTCCCAGAGGCTCGAGGAAAGGTCAAAATGCCCCCCTGTGGTGCAGGAGGCCGACTAGGCCACTCCCACCATGGCCACTCTCACCCAGAAACCGGGCAGAGAACCCATTGCTGAGATTTTTTGAAGCCCACCCTGGCTCAGACATACTGCTAGCTTCTTAATGGAGTCAGGCGTAGCAAAGTGCTCCCCTCGTGAGTCTAATAGGGAAGTAAAACAGGCTGTTTCTGAGGAAAAAAATGATTTGTTTGCAGGCGTGCTGCAGGAATAATCTCGGACAGATTGTTAGGAAATCGGAACAGCAGTGCAAATATTTAAAAAAAAATTAATCTAATAAATAAATAAAGGTAGAAAGTACTGTTTGTTTCTAAAGCACCCTGGTATTTACAACTAAATCCTTGGCCTGAGATTCTAGAAAGAATTCTAGAAAGACCTAAACCTGGGGTCTTCCAGGCTAGGCCCAAACCATCCCTTGATGCTTCAGGCTTTGGGGTAGCTCTCCCGGCCTTCAGCCAATGAGCTTCCTCTACCATGGAAGAAAAGCAACTTCCAAAGAAGAGGATGACTCTGAGACCATGTCCTCTTTTTTTTTTTCCCTGGATGGAAAACAGTAACATCTTCAGCCTTGGTAAAAACGGGGGCATCGGCCTTCAACAAGAAGGTGGAACAGTTGGGATGTCCCATTAAGAAGAAAATGCTGCTAGATCTAGAACATCTATGGAGACTCTCAGTCCTCCAGGTTATGGTTGTCCCAAAGGTGCTTTTTCAAGAGGCAACTGGACTTTGTTTTTCTTTGAAGACATTTTGCTTCTCATCCAAGAAGCTGAAGAAGTTTCTTGGACGAGAAGTGAACCATCTTCAAAGAAAAACCAGAAAGTCCAGTTGCCTCTTGAAAAAGTACCTTTGGGATTAGATGTAAAATCTTCTGCCTCCACTGGTCATTCTGTTGAAGGACATTTTTAGAAGATTCCTCTTGGTGTATCAATCATATCGCCCTATCCCATGCACACCAGATTTCTTTCCATTGGAATCAAGGCCAGGATAAGACCACCAGGGGTTGTCTTCTCTGGTACCTGAACCATCTCACCGTCTTAACCAAATAACCATGGGGCTGGCTTTCGGACGTACACTCTACAAAGGTGCTAACAGTGCCTAAGCATTTGATTCCTCTTTTTATGAAAGGTTTCCCTCTTCTTTCCGATATAAATATGGAAAGTGTGTATTAACTGTGTGAGACTTCTAGGTGGTAGCATCTCCATGCTTTCCTCTGGAGCTTCCAAGGAAGAGTTGTCATCTTGTAGGGGAACCATCTTCCTCCAGCTGTTTGCTCTGCCCTCTGACAAATGCATGATCTGCTTTGTTTTTAGAACCTACACCTCAGCCCCAGCTCCCCATGGGCCAGCTCCCCATGGACCAGCTTCCCATGGACCAGCTCACCATGGACCAGCTTCCCATGGACCAGCTCACCATGGACCAGCTCCTTACACTGGCTACAGTGAAGCCCCAGCACCTGCTCCGAAGCCAAGAGTTGTGACCACTGCAAGCATAAAGCCCTCGGTCTATCAGCCAGGTAAGATGAATTTGAAGGTATCCTTGACTGCATCCCATAATGCTCATTAACAACAACTCCTACTACTGCTTTAGGAAGAAGAAAGCACAGGTAGTCCTTGCTTATCAAGGACTTCGGAACTGTCCTTGAATTTACAACCATTGCAACATGTCCCTACCAGTGGTGGAATTCAAAATATTTTACTACCGGTTTTATGGGAGCGCTTGTGGAGCATTTTAAAATGGGCAATTTTAAGCATGAAAACTTACTGTCTGTGCTGGTGAGTAAAACAGCTGAGGCATGGCAATCCACTCTGGCGCACCTATCAGCTGAGCTACAAACAAAGGAAATATAGGACAGGAAAGGGGTAGGGTGGGTGAGGCCAACTGCTGGCCGACGCTACCAGATCGCTAGAACCAGTGCGAACCGGCAGCATACCACCTCTGCCCGCTACCATGCAATCATTGGCAACTATTGCTCGTTTACAATGCTGTATCATCTGATTCATAATCTGCCATCTTCCCAGCCAGCTTCTAATGAGCAAATGTCAATTGGGAAGCCATCAGGGAGTCACAAGTTGCCCTCATGTGATGTCTCGCTTAGTAACCACAGGAGACTTAGTTAACAACCATGACAAACAGGTCATAAAATTGGGTGTGGTCATGCGGTGTTTCACTTAACAACCGGGCCACTTAGCAATGAAGTGTCCAGTCCTTATTATATAGTTGTAAGTCCAGGTCTACCTGCATGTTAATTTTTCTCCCCTTCGGTTGGATGGATGGTGGGTCTTTTCATTGCTTTTCGAATAAACCGCAGAAAGATTTTTAGATATACTTTTATGCATATTATAACATTAAAGTTTCCTTAGAGTTAAGATCCACTTTTGATAACTTCGTGAACGTGCTTGTAGTTTCCATGGGAACAATGCAGGAATTTTTGCTCTTGCCTTCCTCAAAAAAGTCTTTTTAATGTCCCAGTTGGGTACACATATCTCAGATTTTCTGGTGGTAGCATGCTAGCTTTTTCTTCAGTCAGCCAAGACCTGATTTATCACTGAAATTCAGCTGGGGGTTCAAAACAGAAAAAGATTCTGGAATTGGGTACAACCTTGTTCTGGAATGAGGGAAAACGTGACAAGCGCACAGCTCTGTTTGCCAGCATTTCCTGCCCCCCCCCCCCCCAGAAGGACTCTGCACAGGGGGCTGGACTAGAAGACCTTCAAAGTCCCTTCCAGCTCTATTCTGATTGATTGAAACCTCTGAAGAGAACAGGTCTTTATAAAACAACAGCCATAGACACTCATTCATTTCCCATTAGCCTAACAAGCTGCCTTGATGTATAAACACAGTTAGGAAAATTCTGCATTCCGGTGTTGAAGGACACTGCTTAGCACTTGCTGAAAACAACTTCACGTCCTCCTTTTTCTGGAGATAAATCACATTTTCAGAAACCAGAAATATAGTCCTTGTTCACGGGATGCCAGTTCCCCAAAATTGTTAGCAGATGGCATGACATTCTAGGTTTCCCCCCCCCCCCTCCACGATTACCTCTGCATCTTGAGAATAAGCTCCTTCTGTTCCTAGTAAGCAGAGGAGCCAATTCAGATGTCTACAGGCATCTGTGTGGTACACTCCTTTCCTTATGGTAGCATCCCAGAAGAAGACTTAAGCCTTTCCATGTTTTATTGAAGCCCTCCACAGAATAAAGCAGCAGAATCCAGATAGGATGTGTTGTATATAGACATTTGCATACTCGTAATACTACGTTCTGATTGGACAATCACTACCACCAATCGCTAGGCGGTACTGATTGTCCAATCAGAACGTAGTATTACGAGTATGCAAATGTCTATATACAACACGTAAAGTTGGACCATACCAAGAGGGGGAGGGGTGTTGTACATAGACATTTGCATACTCGTAATACTACGTTCCGATTGGACAATCACTACCGCCTAGCGATTGGTGGTTAACAACAGATTATGATTGGCCGCCTAAACGGCGGGAGGTTTAAAATGATACCATTGGTTGCGAGCCGCGAGCAGCCACTATAAAAGAGGCTGCCGCGGCTCGAGTTTAGTTGAAGTTCCTGACAGTTAAATAAAGAGCTGAACTCAACTCCGGTCTCGAGTCTATCTTGTTCTGGCGATAGAACAGGATGGGATGAGTTTCACTTCAGAAATAGGAGGTTACTTTTTTGAATACTGTATTCTTTGAGTTGTCCACTGTTTTTCCCCGTCTGAAATTTAGCAACTCGCTTAGCAGAGAAAGGTACATCTGCAACCTTTCTTCTTGAGATGCTCAAGATTATTTATTTCTATAGTTTTCACCAAGAAAATGATGCCAAAGCAGTTTGAACATTTAAGCTAGCGTTCTGATTAAACGGCAAGGTATTTGCCTCCAAAACTGTGAGTGATTTAATATCATAAGACATCAGGAGGTTGAGAACAAGGAAAGGCCTCAGTTTATAGATTTTTAAGTTTTTTAAAAATATACATTTGTATGAAAGAACGAGGCCTTGGGCTAAGGTGGGAATGGAATGAGGCACTGGAGCTGGTATGAAGGAATGAAACAAAGCTAAACAGGAAATTAAAATAAAACTTTCTTTTAAACATAGAACAGAAGGAAGAATAGAGAAGAATGATGCTCTGAAATTTATTATTAAAAACTATAACATGCGGTTCAGGATTAGTTTGCAAATTCTCTATCTTTTGGAGCTGATGAAGTCTTGAAAGTTAGGCCTGAAAAACATCTTAGAAGATTTTTGAGTTTAGCTTTCTGCTTACTACTGAATTTGCCACACAAACTCTACTTCATTCCACCAGGGAAAGGAAGGCCATTAAATTCTGGGATCTGCAAAATTAGACATTTTCATAAAGCCTGGGTCCCCTTAACTAGCATCCAAATGGACCCTCCATGTACAGGGCTATGTTATATCCAACTTCCAGCTGATAATGGAAGGGTGTCAGCCAGGGGTGGGGACACATGCACAGTGCACATTTGGAGCACATACACGCTCACCAAACTGGTTGTTATACCGGTTGAATTGCACCCTGGATTGTTAACATTATGCAATTGTTGACTGCTATCCTGGACTACAGGGTTGATATAGACAACCTACCAAAACAAACTAAATAATGATTCTTGCAATTTATTTGACTCTAAAGACCAAGGCTTATCCAATATTTTAGCTCTATTGCAGCATCGGATTTTGAAAACAGGCTTCGAAAGCAGCATTAAGATTATCTGAGGCTGCTCTGGTATGAATGTCCTAATAAATATTGTAGTTTGCAGCAGGGTTGGGATTCTACCAGTTCGCACCTATTTGCTAGAACCAGTTGTTAACATTCTAAGCAGTTCGGAGAACTGGTTGTTAGAAGAAATTACTGGCCTAATCCTGTAAGGAAGGCAGGAAGGAAACATTCTGGTGTTGCTTACAGAAACTGCCTCTCCATTAAGTCTTATTACATTCAAGGCAGGACTAGACTTCCTGTCTCAGGAATTCTCTGGAGTTTTTTTCCCCTCCTTTGCTGGTACTTTGCTTGTTCAAAGTTACAATGACACTGAAAAAAGTGACTTATGACCATTTTTCACACTTACGACTGTTGCAGCATCCCCACAGTCATGAGAGGCCAGGCGGGGAGATGCGTGCCTCGATGTGAGTGATATTGAGTTGGCCATACCCAGACAATAACATGGCCACCAAGCCACGCCCACCAACTAAGCCAGGCCCACAGAACCGGTTGTTAAAAAATTTGAATCCCACTCCTGGTTTGCAGGGGGAAAAATGAGGATTATTATATGCAGATTTCTCATTTACAGCAGCTCCAGCACCCGCCCCACCATCGGTGTCCACACATACCTATATTCCAAGCCAACCTGAGCCTGCAAGTCGTCCCCCCTGGGTGACGGATGATTCCTTCTCCCAAAAGTTTGCTCCTGGGAAAAGTACAACCACCGTCACCAAGCACATTCTGCCAAAGGGTGCTCCGGTGCCTCCATCTTCTGCTCCACCTCCCTCAATTCCTGCGTCCATCCAGGCTCCTGCCATTGCACGGGGAACCATCCAAAGAGCAGAACGCTGCCCCGCCGGTAGCCGAACTCCGCTCTGTGGACATTGTAACAGCATCATCAGGTATGTCCATTGCATCCTTCTGTGGAAAGGAATTCTAGTGGAGTGCATTTACATTTATGCCAGAGACTAAAGATGTTGGATGTGTAGGAGAAAGGCAGGCAGAGGTGGGAAGGTGGAGTTAAGTGCATCTTCAGTTTAGAGTCCTTGCGTTGCCATAAGACTGTGATGGCGAGCCTATGGCATGCGTGCCGGAAGTGGCACACCGAGCCATTTCTGCTGGCATGCAAGAGGTCACCCAGAACAGATCCACTGTGCATGTGCACACGCCCCCAGCCAGCCGATTGTCGGGCATGTGGGGGGGGGGGAAACACGCATGTGGGAGATGCATGTGCGGGGGGGTCACACGTGCATGCACAGAGGGTCATGTGCACATTGCATTATGGGTGCAGGCATGCATGCGCTCTTTCAGCACGCGACGAGGAAAAGGTTAGCCATCACTGCCATAAGAGATCCAAGTCCAGCTTCCTTGGATTCCATTGGCCCTTCTCTAGCACCAATTTTAGCCATTAGTTGTGTCACAGCATTTGCAGCGTGACTATTATTGTGAAACAACCCAGAAGCAAATCACAACACAGAGAGACATTGAACAGTGGTTTATATACAAGACACATACAGAAATATATGTGGTAGGCAAAATACTTTACAAGCAATCCATCTTCTTCTTAACTCTACATGGAGTACTCTGCAATGAATACTGGACACAAGGAGAGAGAACACACCCTCTATAATGTCAGCCTTATATAAACACCTCTTAAAGGAGTAAAGATTTCTGTGGACTCATTCTTCATCTTGTGCACAGGCTTGAGCAATAAATCTTTCTGCACTGCATCTTAACCTATAATCCTGATTTTTTTTCACCTAACATTAGCTTCCCTAGAGAGAAAAGCTTGTCTTTTGTGTACAGTGTCTATCTTCACCATTCAGCCCTTGGAAAGCAGAAATTCCATTCGGGTCACATCCTAGATTCAGGATGGATACTGAAAATGGCTAACACATTTCCCCCCCAAAAAATCTGATCGCTCCTAAGCTGGTAACCTACAAATTCCATTATCCCCAACCAGTAGGGCTAATGACGTCCAACACAGCGGGTGGGATCCAGTTTGGAGAAACAGAAACTTCACTAGTGGCCATCCCAAACTAGCATAAAGTTCTTTGTAAATACATTCTCTTTTAGGTAGGGGGAAATCGGTGTCCTAGTGGACAACCATTTCAATATGAGACAGACGTGTGCAGCAGCTGCCAAAAAAGCCAACACAGCCCTAGGCTACATAAACAGAAGGACAGAATCAAGATCACGTGAAGTATTAATACCGCTTTATAAGGCCTTGGTGAGACCACACCTGGAATACTGCATTCAGTTTTGGTCACCACGATTTAAAAAAAGATGTTGAGACTCCAGAAAGAGTGCAGAGAAGAGCAACAAAGATGATTAGGGCACTGGAGGCTAAAACATATGAAGAACAGTTGCAGGAACTGGGTATGTCTAGTCTAATGAAAAGAAGGGGAGACATGATAGCCATGTTCCAATATCTCAGGGGCTGCCACAAAGAAGAGGGAGTCAAGCTATTCTCCAAAGCACCTGAAGGCAGGACAAGAAGCAATGGATGGAAACTAATCAAGGAGAGAAGCAACCTAGAACTAAGGAGGAATTTCCTGACAGTGAGAGCAATTAATCAGTGGAACAACTTGCCTCCAGAAGTTGTGAATGCTCCAGCACTGGATGTTTTTAAAGAAGAGATTGGATAACCATTTGTCTGAAGTGGTGTAGGGTTTCCTGTCTAAGTAGGGGGTTGGATGAGAAGACCTCCAAGGTCCCTTCCAACTCTTGTTATTCTATTCTATTCTATTCTATTCTGTTCTGTTCTGTTCTGTTCTATTCTATATAAATGAATTAAGAGGTTTCTAGAAGAATGGAAGTTATTAGAATGATTCACACCTTGAGGATGGGCTGTATGTAATTTCCAAAGACAACAGTAATTTCTGTTCTTGGCTGTAAAGAGAATGTTATCAGACGTTATTTATGTTTTAAATCAGCAAAGACTCCTTTGCTTGATTATTGTTGTTGTTGTTTTTAAAAAGAAAAACATTGCATTAGTGAAACAAACAAAAAAGGCTCCATCACTGTTAGTGCAATAAAGAAACTATATAGCGATTGAAATAAAGAAAACCTAAGAGGAAAAAAAGTAAGGAGAAATGAAAAGAGGATCTACATGACATCAAAATAAAGTTAGTTCAATTGTTAAAATTTATTAAATCTAGACCATATAAACACATGTAGCTCCATCTTCTCAATTCTGATCATCGACTAAACTCCATCTTAATTGTTAGCATCTGATTTCTCCTCTCCTCTCTTCTCCTCTCCTATTTTGTCTCTTCTCTTCTCTTCTCTTCTCTTCTCTTCTCTTCTCTTCTCTTCTCTTCTCTTCTTTTCTCCTCATTGTCTCCAGTTGGTTCAATTTGATTGACACTCTCTCTACTTTTCACCCCTTCTTTTCAACCCAAATGCAGGCTGAATTGCTTCTCCCCTATGTCAGGTGCTAAAAATTGGGATCCTCTGTTAGGTTGAAGCACAGAAGATTTATTCAAGCCTATACACAGAATCCAGTCAACTAAAATTCAACGCTAAATTGGCACCAGATAAGAATGGGATTCAGGGTCTTGGTCATTTGTGGGGATGTAATGATTCTAAGCTGATGATACACTTAACTCCACTTTCCCAGCTCCACCTGCTCTTCTCCTATACACATTAGTATAAATGAAATGGCATTTTATACTTTGGATTGCGGAAATGTCAGCCTTCAAGATTTTTCCTTCAAGATTTTTCTCCCTTTGCTTTGCATCTTTTGGCTGTCATAAGTAACAGGGGGAGGAGGGGGGAATGGTTATGGGAAGTGAGCTGGAGGTGTTACAAACCAGAACTGTATAAACTGGGGGGGGGGTACATACTTGCTTAGGTTTCTATCCAATGCTATGCGCAGCTGCAACCCTTTATCAAACTATGTCAAGGTCAACGGACAAAAGCCTCATCACCACCTGGAGATGCCCACATGATGATATACACAACTTTTAATTGGATGAGCCAATTGAACTATCGGAGGTGGGAACGTTGCCATTACTTTGTATATGTGATTTACACGCCCATTTTCTCAGATTCAGAATTCTTTTGTTGCTACCACTTGATTTCCAGTAAAAGATATCTTTTCTCTGATTAAAAGAGTCTAAGTATTTCTTTCTTGGATTTTGAATGGAGCACCTGCTGACATTATTCTGAATGTGAGAAAAACCTCCTTTAAGTCCCAATATTCCTCCGGAATTTTCTCCTCCCCCTTCAGGTTCTCGGTGCCAGTGGAGGCCAGTTCAGTGGGATTCTTGAGTTTCGGTTGAGATTGCCCCTCCCCTTCTGGGGGTTGGTCAGTACATATGCGCAATGACCCTCTCCTCCAATCAACGTGGGGGTTCCATTTCCGGAGCCAGGGCAACCCCAGTATTAGGGGCCGCTCCATCCCAGGAGCCACGATAAAACACAAAGTCTCTCTATGCTTCCCCATTGTCATTTCTATTGGTTCCGTTATGAAATGTGCAGGGCCGCCCCCAGCTACCGATCCATCCAATTGGCAAAAGGCTATGGGCGTTTTTAAAGTCTTCAGCCTTAAGCCCATTTTCTCCACTACCTCCAAGCTGATTACGCACCTTGTGCACCCAGAGTCTAACAAGGCCAGCATTTCCCATTTGGCTCCCAACGTGGGTATCCTTAATCTCACTGGAGTGGTCATAGGGCCCTTGTTTGGACTTACCAGTGAGTTGTCTTCCGATTCGGATTCACTCTCTTCAGAAGAGGTTGGAGTTCCCAGCTCCTCTCCTTTCGGAGGGGCGATCTCTACAACCTCCTTCGCTTTAAGCGCCGCTTTGCAAGGCTTTGCTGGGGGGTTTTCAGGTTTTCTTCCTCCTCCTGGCACCCCCTTTGGTTCTAGCTTGGCATGGCAATCTGCAGCCCGGTGACCTTCCTTCCCACATCAGAAGCAAGCAGTGGTCTTGGGTTTTGCCGCCATTCCTCCCTTTTGAGGTTTTAAGGCTTCTCGAGGGCTGGTGGGGGAGGATTTACTCCAACCAACCACCACCCCCGGCGTCTGTTTCAGGTCAGATCAATTTCCACCTCTGCCGCCAGCACGTACCACAGCTGCA